CTCGAAAAACAATAAAAAGTTTAAAAAAAAAATCCACATAGAAATATTGCTAGTGAGAAACCAATTACCATTTTTTTCAGATATGAATTTTGGAATAGAAGTTTTATTTTATATTTGCTCTCTAATTTCTTCTGAAATTATATTTAAATCTGTCAGTGCAGAAAAGACAGTGCACTGTGTTCATGTCCTTCACCAGCACCATCTGAGATGGATTGAAATGTTAATTCTCGCTGCTCATTAACAACTCCTCAGATAATGTTTGTGTCAGAAATAATGTTGCTGTTAAGCATCAAAGTTCCCTCAACCCAAGGTTCAAACAATCAGTTTTAGGATTGTCCAAGAAGCTGGGTGCCAGACGCAGCCCAGCCATGGGGATGGGGGAGCCCCACCTGCCTTGCCAAGGTCAGTGGAACCCATACACACCATGAGAGCCCTGGCTGTGGCACAGAGTGAAATCACCGTGAGACATTCAAATGAGATAATTATATTGTGGTGGTTTGCATCTCATTTTGGTGACTTAGTTGTACACTGCCAACACAGTGCTGGAAATCAATACTGCACACCTCGTTCCCTACCATGTCACACTGTTGGCCCTTCAGAGTGAGATGCTGCTAACTCTGTACTCAGAAATCATGTCCCTCAAGACAGGAAAATTATTATGAAGCTGAACAACAATAATTTACACCTAGAAAAGCTTCCTACTTTTCCTTTCTTTTCTGTTTCCTAGAACAGGGAACTCTTGGACGGTTGTCTGCTGAAGTGAAATTTTATTCTTTGGCAACAGCAAATAAATCCATGTTTCTTCTACTGAGTTGCTTAACTAGTGTGGTGCTGTACCCATGCTCTAGAAAGGCCTGTCCATTCTCCTTGGAGAAGGCAATACTGCATGAATGAGTAGAAAGTCTGCTTTGGAGCAGTGGCACAGCTATTTGTGCACCAAGTGATGTGTACAGTATTTCCCTTCCTGTTAAATGTGGATCTCAAACATAATAGAAACTTTAAATTTAGTTTTACTTATAGTTTATGCTGAATCACATAAAATGTGATCAGCTCAGAGGCACAGCATTATTTATTTGTACTTTTCACCACTGGTGCTAGTATTTTTTTCCCAGCAGCTACATGCTGCAACTTCACATTTAGTATCACACTGGGGATACCAATGGAGTTCTAGGCAAAGCAGTGGGGATGTGCTAGCATCAAATAAACTTAAAAAAAAAAATAACACTTTGTAAGAAGATAAGATTCTTTCCATGCATTTCCTGTAATTATTACAGAAACCTACAGTAGTATACATCAGAGGGGAAAGTTACTGTACTAAACAACCCCGAACTCTGCCTGCCTGCCGTTGAATCTGCATACTGAAATTGACTACACCCCTGGGAGGGCAGCAGTCCCAAATCCAAGCCCTGTTAGCTGCAGCAGGCAGGCTGCGAGCCCAGGCAGCCCCGAGGCTGCTCTGAGAACAGGAGCTCCTGCCCGCTCCCTACCTGGGGCTCCCTTGCACCCACTGCAGAATGGAACATTTGTTCGGCTCCGTTGCGCCAGGCTCGGCTTTGCTGGTGTGAAATAGCACAAAATGAGGTACACCATGTACTCCTATTCGAGAAAGCAGGTAGAATTTCTGTAACTACACCACAACTGCACAGCAAATACCAGGTAAATACAGAGTAACTGCATGTTCCTGCAGCTTACTTGTTAATTATGCACAGCAACTAACGAGTTCAAAGATATATTATCATTGCAGGATTTAGGTGCCTGCTAAGGTGGGTCATAATGGAATTCATGCTATTGAAGGCTTGCTTTTGTTGATTTTCCAGTGGAATGGGGAAGGGAAACAACTCACTTCATATGTCCAAAGGCTTAAGTGCATATTTTGTCCTGGTACAGCAGAGGCACACTACTAACATGGCACAATTAGGAAAACTAGGTGAATAACAAACAAAAATAATTTCCAATAATAAATCACTCTTCAAATTCCATTTAGTAATCCTCCTAAGCAAATGTGTTTAAAATCACTGGTATTGCATGCAGTAGAACTGCTATGGGTTTCCTGGCTCAGTATTTAAACTTGTATGGGCTAAGACCGGAGGAAAATGTCATTTCACCGATGTCACTAGCAAAACTATCAGATGCAGCAAGGACATGGCTCTACCCATGCAGTTTGCCTGAGTTCTTGAAATAGTGTATTTTTTTATGGTATCAGGCATAGATCACCATGTAAGTGAGTTCATAGCCTATGCTAGCTCTCCTCTGAGCAGTATTTTGCAGTGCAGTTTTTTGGACTACAACTTGTAACATTTAATAGGTATTTTAATAGTATTCAATAAGATAAAATTAGCCTCTCTATAAACATTGCTCTTCTCCAAAGTGAAGCTTCCCTTTAAATTATGACTCCACGATGGTTATTTGGTCAGCCATATATATTGACTTTTACAACCTGTGTTGGATCACCTGAGGTTTTCTTTGTAATTTTTTTTCCAATTTCATTAATCTCATATTGATTTTCTCCCTGAAAGGTGTCATCAATGTTTCTGAGCCTTTTTCCTATTGAAGTTCTTGAGCTATTTCTTCCAAAAAATGTGAAGTGTCTATTGCAAAGGAAAATGTTGGTCTTTAGGGATTATAGAATCAGGACAAGCAGTCAAAATAGTCAACTGTTTTATTTTCTGTTGCTTATGGAAACCTGAAGTACAGAATAAGACCCCACTGAAACTGGCTGTGCATAAGTGCAGACAAAAACAGCAAATAACTTCAGATACAGAATGACTGTGGGTTTGAAGGGGTTTATGTTTAGATAATGTACATTGACTTCAAATAAAAGGGAGCTCTTCATCTCCAGCACTGTGAACAGGGCAGTCTAACTGAGGCTCCTTAGCACAGCTACTGCAGCTAATGGGATCCTCTGAAGATGGAAACCTGGATCATAAGGAGGATGAAAAAACATACCTTGTTTTCTTTCACTCATTTTACTCCCTCCTCAGTCTACCCTCGAGCCTCCAGAATACAGCCATCTTCCAAAGTGAGTGCAAGTTATGGTTCTTCATGCCCAGGCTCTGCTCTTGTTCTCTCTGAAATCTGCAGCGAGATTGTTGCTGTCTTCAATAGTACCAGGCACAGGTTGACCAGGCCTTGAAAGTCCCCTAAACAAAAAAGAGGTGATAGTACTGAATGGGAGAGATACTCATTAATAACTGTTTAGGAGAACATGGTTTTCTTGAAAGGCTAATTATCTTGAGAGCTACCCATTCAAAAAAAAGTCTGATCAATGGGAGAACAAATTAAAAATTAAGAATCTCTCATAAAACCAGACAGTGGAATACTCCATTCAAGAGGACAGTCACAAATTATAAGAAATGTCAACATATTAAGTGGCAGGAACTTCAAAAGGTAATTTTCCCCTTCAATTTCATATGCATTCCTCATGAGCAACATCAAGAAGTATAACATGCTAATAGCTAATAACAGGATAAGATTCACTGATTTACAAACGGAATAACTTAATGTGTATCAAAGGAATAATTTTCTCATTTCATTCTCTTTTTTAGATCTAATACTAAGCTGGCTATTATCAAATAGATCAAACTGCATAGATTACAAGTCATCATTAAAATAGTAATTTTAGAATTAAGATTGCTTTTTTATCTAGGATGTCTCCTTTAGATTTAAGGAATAACATACCTTTTACCCTCATTATAACTCAGATTTCAAAAAAGAAATCAGGAAGGTATCTTTGTGGACGTGCTGTTTTGCAGAGACAGACTTGTCATGATCTGAAACTCTGAAAATGTTGAGAACTGCAGAGGGAAGAGGTTACCCAGAGGGAGATAACAAACATTTGGCCAGGTAAAATCACAGTGTTGGTTCAGTCCTGCTTTGAGCAGAAGGCAGGACCTGATCTAAAAGGCCCCATCCAACCAGTATTTCTATGGTATAACTCAGATATAAGCCAGCAGTGTTATCAAAATCTAAACATAGATGATGTCAAACACAACTAACTTAATAGTTCACACACTAGAAAAGAGGAAGAGGACACACCTCTCCAGCTGGCTTGTTTTCTCAGAGCCAACTCCTCACCAAGAGGGCATACCAATGCAGTGTGTCACACACTGGTATCACCCTCCTCTCCTCATATCCCAGCCATAAACATGGTGTGTTGTGATGCCCCTTTAATGGGGAAGGCCAGGCTGTTGGAATTAATGGCAGATGGAGCAATATTTGCATTGGGGAAAAAAACCAACCTCATGCTGCCAAAACATTAATATTTCCACTTTCTTGGAAATATTCTGCCACTTTCACCGCTACATGTAAATTTGTCATGTAAATATGACTTCTTCCAAGGAAACGGGCGTGTTTCAGCAGGCTTTCTGAGGACAAGGACCTCTCTGCACCTTCAAAACCATTTGCTTCCAGTCACAAATTTTCAGAGCTGCAGCACTGTGGGGGTGATACTCGAGGTGACTTCAGTGAGAGACAGGAGCGAGCAGGGCTGGATTGGGCAGGCTGGCCCACAGTCGCCAGTCAGCAGAACCAGGCAGTCAGGACACAGTGAAATCCAGCAGGGAATTATTTCTTTGGGTTTGTTTGCATATTTTTGAACACTGTATCTCTGTGAATGACTATGTTCCGTACACTGTGAGAAAAACAAGAATTTACTGATCATCCTTTGTACCACAGAGTATTTTTCATAGCCTTATAATGTCTTTTATTAATTTCCTTTTAAAAACAGACTCTCATAATCCTTTCAAATTCTGCACCTATACAACATCAAAGCATTTCAGTGAATTTTTCAGTCCATTTATATTCCAGTAGTCAGTCAGGTGGTAGTACTGCAGGAAGTAAAGATGTCCAACCTCTCTGCAGTTCTCCTTGCTGCAATTATTGATCTCCAGGGAAACTGAGCCTCAAACACCAAAAAACCCTTCTGTGATGCCCAACTGTTTAGCAGAAGGCAATGGGACCAGTCGGCTTTTAGTTTAAAAAGACAGCCATTGTCCATCCACTGAGGAAGAGCTGAGATTTATTTTTAACTTCACACTTTTCTACACATCATGACAAAAAGCTGAATAGTTCTATTTTCATTTAGGAGGACATTACAAGGCAAAGAAATAGTCTGATAGATTTTAGATTAGAGCTTCTTCCCTGAGAACAGGGGATGTTGCAGTGTGGTCCCATGCCAGAGATAATCTTCTTTTCCCCGATACTATCAGCTGGGCCAATATATTTTCAAGAATTGCTGCACTAAACTGAGAGTTCTCCAACATGATGCATCTGCAAATTTAGATTACTCTCCCTCTGTGGATGCTGGGATTAAGGAGTCATGAAGGTAATCTGCATCATAGTGATATTATAAGGATTGTTCTTAAATGGAAAAATATCACATATTTGTTTGTATTCTCCAACTTGAGGCATACCTTTTGGAAGTCAGTTTCTGATTACATGTTTGGGCAAACGATGCCTTATCTGCATGCTTTTCCCATGCATCATCCTGATCTGGGAACCTGAATGCCATAAGCAGAAAGTTATGTTAATTGTATAGGTTTGGCAGCCAGTGGAGTCCAAAACATATTCCTCAAGACCATCAGCCTCACAAAGTCTGCTCGAGAAGCTGGAGATGTTCCGTACCTGTTAGAGGAATCACAGAAAGTGTTTGTTACAAGAATCTCCAACAAAGAGCATCTTGGCCTTATGGATATAACATATTTTTGTTTCCTAAAACTAAAACCCACTATGTATGAACTGGTACTGTAAGCACAAGTGCAAGTAAAAAAGAGTTCTACTGTTGCTGGACTCCTCCTACTCAATTTAGGCAATCAGCAAAATTACTTTCTCGGTATTGAGTTACAGTAAAGAATTGTTAACTGTGGTGTAACTGAGAGCAAAGACAAAGTCAAGTCAACAGGATTTGCTTCAGCTTATGACACTTCAAACAAAGCCTCTAAATTTGTGTGGATCATAAAAGTGAAAGTATAGAGAAAATATGTGCTACAAAAATAGAAGTTTCTTACTAAAGCAGTTTTTATGGAAATGCTCACAGTTGAGTTAGTGTTATTTGCTTCTAATTTGGGCTTAATTCTCCATACTGTACGTTAACAAACTTACACCAATTAATGCCAAGTGCCTTACACATTTTTCTTTAATTAAATTTCTCCAAAGAATCACATTACATGAGCATTTGCCAACACAATAAGAACACTCAGAGATCCTGGGTAAAATCCAGGCACCCCTACAGTAACCAGTAAAATTCCCATTGAAGATACGATTTTACTGTACAGCTCTTTTCTATGTATGGGTAATAAAAATTATCTTGTGACTTACGAATTAAGTTCATCAGTACACTATTCTAAGAACCTTAGTTCTGAATGAGCTCCACACTGGCACTTACCACTTCCCTTACTTCAGAGTCCAATAATGTCTGTTTTCAGGTATGTTTATAATTGCTGGAATATGCAGCAGAAGCCAGTTTAGACAAGCTTCCTGCCTGTGGATAGAGGTAGGTACTCAGTCTAATAATCTGCAGTTTTACTGCAGAGTTTGAGCACAGGATTGCCTGCACTGAGCTCTGGGAGAAACCTGAACCATTAAAATTTAGGGATTCTCTTAACTGTTCACTAATAAGTTATAGGTGATTAGTACATGAAAGTGGTGCAAAAATTAAGATTTAGAACAATCTTTATGATCACTAATAGAAGATCAGGTGTAACAATTTACCTGCATTTCATTCTGAGTTATTTTTTTGTCTGTGTGAGATGCTGAAGTGGGTAGTTCTGCCAGTTTTCCTCTGACACAGGTTTTTAGCATCATTTTTTCTTCCATAACTTGGCCATACATCACTGTGGGATTTGATGTTTGGGAAAAAAATCAATTAAGGCTGCTCTAGGCCAGCACTGATCAGCAAGGGCACAAGCAGGAGGATTTGAGCTGGTGCCTGCTGGTGCTATGGCTCTTGGGACGTCACCATCCTGCAGCTGCAGGGAGGACAGAGGGCTGCTCATCTGCTTCATTGCAAAGTTACTTTCCTAAGCGGTGGTTTTTTTCATCTCTAAGATGTTACCTAGTTACCAGCAAATCACAGCATGGTAACCACTCAGAGAATTCTGGGGTTTATTTACAACAAGGTAAGTGACCCTGAATAAGTCAGGCTGGGAACACTTAGTCTGTCCAGTTGTACAACAGGATGAGACTCAGACAAAATTTATTTGAAGTGTTAAGATTAAAACTGTGGTATTAAATTAATTAGCATTAGTCTTGACAACACTAATGCTATTTAAAATCTATTGACCTGGTTTAAAATTAAACTTCACATTCCCTTCACCTGCAACCCAGCCCTGAAGCTGTCGAAGTCTGCGTTGTCCAACCCATGCCAGATTTTCCCATTTGGTTGAAAGATTGTTATTAATACACCATAAGTGGGTATTAAAAAAAAAAAAGGGAAAAGTGAGATTACCCAATTACCCAATTTTGCAAACAACCGTTTGCTTGCTTCAGTTTTGAGAAAGATTGTCCAAAATTTAATTTCCTGACGGGGCTTAATCCTCCCCTTTTGTGGCTCTGGACCATCCATCCTTCCTGCCTCCCCCAGTGCTGACTAAGCGGGGTTGCTAAGCGACATGTTCTTCTCTTCTGTACTTTAGCAGAGAGGAACAGATCAAAGACACCCACAGTCTTGAATTATTTTATAAACGAATTTAAAGAGACACTCTCCTGTGCAGTATTATGTGGGGGGAGATCAAAAGTTGCTGGGTATAATGAGAGTAACTGGGGAATTAAACTGATGTCTTCTGGAAAATAAGAATTCTCTCATAAATGACAGCTATGTAGTATTTGTCTTTGTTGTTGTTGTTTTGGTTTTTTGTTTTGTCGGGTTTTTTTTCAGAACTAGATTTCAATTTTTTAATGCTAATTAATGTTTCTAGTTTCATGGCAGTCAAGACACTGAGCACAGGCACATGTGTAAAACTTTCAGAAGTCAGGGTTTCTGTCATCGAGTGACAAGCTTGTGGGGTTAACTCTTTCCATCTCTTGCAAAAGAAATTATCTATTATCCAAAAATATTTAATTCGTTAATTTTTAAGTGTTTTCCTGACTGATGTTAGGCAACAAAGCCACAGGATAAAGTTCAAGTGATGCATCTTTGAAAGATTAAATGAAGATAAGGAAGTAACCTGTGTAGATCAGGCAGAAAACCTATGACATCAACATCTCAGATCTTGCTGAAAAAAAAAAACAAATGGCTAACCTGTAATTACAAAAGCTGGGAATACACAAGTTTAAACATTACCTCTTACAAGTCCTTCATTGTCCTGGCATCAGCTCAGCTTGGCTGAGCGGTTTGTAGGAGCAGGCTGGCAGCTGAGGCAGTTCTTTGCCAGAACAGAAAAGAGGGGAATTATTTGCCCTCGTATCTACTCAGTTTCAAATACCATCAATGATGTAAAAGGGAAAAAAGTACTTGGTAACAAAGTGCAAGAATTTTTCATGGCTTTTTACCTCCAAACCTACCATGGCTGGCACAGTCCTCAGAAAACTGAGAGACACACAAAAAACACACTTAAAGCCTTCCTCAGACAAGCAAGACAGACTATTTATGTAGAAAGTTGTCTTGGGTGCAAAGCAGGATGTAACCAAAAGTATGTATTCTATCACCATCTTTTGAAACCTTATCTCTGCAGGAGATATCTCCTGTTAATGGGCCATCTGTTATAAGAAGGTGGGACAGTGTTCTTTATCTTTTCCACAACCCATCCTTCCTCTAGGGACATATCAGCTGTTAAGGGCCATTGGGTCTCACTGAATGACTGATAAAATTACATCATCCCATTGAGATGCTCCACCCAGGGGGAGGAGCCAAGCCTTTCTTACCCAGATAAAAACTGAGATTTGGAACATCAGAGTAGCTTTTTTCCACTGGATTCCAGAGGAAAACCAGACCTTTCCACATCATCACTGGACCTTTGGAGGAAAACTGCACCTGCTACAGGGGCACTGCTTCAACAGAACCACATCTGTCATCCAGGAGGATGCAGCCACCATTTAAGGGGACTGCTGCCAACACCCTGACTGACTGACACGGGTGCCAGGTTGTGTTCTGACTTTTTCAGTGTCATGTTTTTTTGTATTACTGCATTTTTATTTTAATTTTCCTAGTAAAGAGCTGGTATTCCTATTCCCATATCTTTGCCTGAGAGCTCGTTAATTTCAAAATTATAATAATTTAGAGGGAGAGGGTTTACATTTTCCATTTCAAGAGAAGCTCCTGCCTTCTTTAGCAGACACTTGTCTTTCAAATCAAGGCAAAAGTAAAACTCTTAGGTCAGATGGCTGCAAAAAAGGCATGTAAATTTTATCCCACATGCATATCTCATTGCTCTGTACCAGCTACCTGAGCTGCACAAAAAAATGTCTCCTTTAAGGCTGTTTCAGGGGCTTGCTCAGGTAGAGATGTCCTTGTAGCTCCAGGCACAACATCACTGGGGAACGGTGTGCATAGAGGATCTTGCTCTCTTCAGCATGTGCCTAGTCACAGAGTGGAGCAAGTTCCTCACTCTTGTCCTAGGCCAGCAAGCACACATCAAAGTGAGGGTAGAGTAGTGCAACTAATACAATGTAGGACTATAAAGGGATCAATCTCATATAAATTTCCACCAAAAAAAACCCAAACAAAAAACCAAACCAAACAAACAAACAAACAAAACAAAAAAAACTGCGTTAGGATTTATTTCCATGCATTTTATTTTCCGGTGAGAAAACAAGCCTCCCTTTTCTTCCTGCATCATTAAAAGTCTTTGCAAAATTCTGACTGCTTAGGTTTGGCATGTAAAATCCACTGTACTACAGCTAACCTACATTCTCATAAAAGCATGTTTTTTAGAAGAGGGCTCAGCCAGCTTCCCCATTTGTAAATATCAATTACACAGGCAAGATACGTGCTTTACTCTCAATGACAGAGTGTTTTATGTATAAACATCTTGACCAGCACTACACTGTCAGTGGATAGCAGATTCAGTGTGTTTTGGCTGAATTTCTGAAGGGGAAAACTGTGACTCTAAATATTTTTTCTGGAGAATGGATTCCTCCACACACTATGAGCATCTTGTAAAGAATACAAGTAAACATTTGAGAAGGAATTTGATGCTTATGGCAGGTATTGATTTGCCAGCCTTGGAAACTGAACTCCCTTGGACTCACTGCACAGCACAGCTCTGGCTGTGTGAGCTCTGCAGGCTGGCCATGTTCCCACCACACCACTGCTCCTGCTGCAACAGTGAGGAGAGAGTCAGAGAACTCCAGAGCTGAATGGCTTGGAAGCGATCTCAAAGATCATCCAGTGCCACTCCTGCCATGGGCAGGGACATGTTCCACAATGCCAGGATGTTCCAAGCTCTGTCCAACCTGGCCTTGGACACTGCAAGGGATGGAGCAGAGACAGCTTCTGTGAGCAGCCTGTGCCAGGGCCTCACCACCTTCACAGCCAAGAATTTCTTTCTAATATCTAACCTAAACCTGTCCTCTGTGAGTCTGAAGCCATTCTCCCTTGTTCTGTCACTCCAGGTCCTTGTAAATAGCCTCCTTATATTTTTCTTGTAAGCTCCCTTTAGATACTGGAAGGCTGCAATTAGGTCTCTGAAGCTTCTCTTCTCGAGGCTCAACAACCCCAATGCTCTCAGCCTTTCCTTGCAGTAGAGGTGCTCCATCCTTCTGATCATCTAGGTGGCTTCCTCTGGACTTGCTCCAACAGGTTGATGTCCTTCCTGGCTGTCTTTCCAGTCAGCTTGTTAGGATCTGCATTTCTGGCAAGTTTATTCAAACATCCTGACCATGCTGTGTTCAGGGGTGCAATTTAATTGAGCTATTATTTTATCTTAAAGGTAAAGTGTTCTGAAGTGGCATTGTTGTCGGAATTTTAGTTAATTTTTATTAATATTGGTAGAATTTTGTTTAATGAATGTAAATAATTTTGATTCGCTGCTTCTCTTTCCTTACTTCCAGAATGCTGCAAGAACCTGCGCTGCAGCCTGGGCTGCTGAATCCCAGAAGTAAGAGCCAGGGCTGGGCTTGGGACTGGGAACAGGAGATGATGCTTTTGACATGTGGGAGGGCAGTGAAAGCCTTTGAGAACATTAATAACATTACTTGATGCTTCTACAGTGCTGTGCCTGTGCCTGCTTAAAGCTCAGCATAGACTATGAGTAATTAGTGATCTGGATGTCTCTGAAATGATCAGCAGCAGCATTTAAATCATCATTAAAATACAATTAACAACACTTTAAACAGAATGCTGTCGTTGAGAGAAGTCTAATTGGTGGCTCGTGGGCCAGTTCTGGACAACAGGAGGATTGTCTGCTTCTCCAGCTCAAGGAGCACCCTGTCCCAGGAGTGATGGCCGTGCCTCTGGGACATGGGAGAGCCATTATGCGACAGGAAAGGCAACAGCACAAAGTAGTCCTTGTGTACAGGCCATGACTTTGAAAAGTCTGGATTTATGGACCTCATTTCATCCTGTGTGCTGATCCAAGCAGATGCAGCCCCAGAACAATATACTTTGCAATTCAAATCAATTTAATTTTTTTTATACTTCCATGTTAGACTCTGCAGCAAGAGCTGTAGGGATGAAATAAGGGCAGACCATGGTGAGACAAATAACTGAGTGATCCCCCTCTACAGGGGGCGTGCTGGCAGATCATGCTGGTGTGTGTTTGGCAAAGACAAAGAATTCGGTTGCTGTAGCAGACTGAAAGTGAAGGTGGGGCTTGGATGGTGCTCCCAAACCTGGAAGTCCTACCCCACATTTAGGCAGATAAATATGTTACTTCCATGCCTGAGATACTTGTGTTAATTGCATAAATGCTAGCAAAAATCACATGTTTTTAAAGTGCTGGAAGTGTAAGTAGCTGCTCTTCTGAAATAGCCACAGTAGATGTATTTTCGCTCAGATATGGTCCTGCATTATCACTGATAAGTGCATTTTATCTGTTATAATATCAAGTTGTAGCATTCTATTAGTATCTTTTCATAATATTATTGATGCTCCTGTGAAAACTGCAGTAGAATACGCTTTAAATACTGGCTTTTTATACGTCTCACACAACTGCCACAGGAATAGCACACTTCTGTTCCAGGTTTTTGAAGAAGCAATGCTACTGCTCCCCACCAGCTCCTGGTGCCTGCTCCATAATGGCCTTATTATTTATGCTTTTTCTCTTTAAAATTCAAGTTTAGAACTTAAAATTTTCATCCTTTTGTTTCTTAAAACGTATCAAAGGCAGCAAATTGCCCAGATGTAATCTGTGTAGTTTGTGCTGTGGCTGAGCATCCACTACTGTGAAAGCGATGCTTGTTCTCTGAAAGGAGGAATTCTTTCAGGCAGCGTCATTGCCTCCTCCTCCTCCAGCATGCTTCTCCCAGGTGCTCGGAGGACTCACTGACAGTCATTTTCTTGCCCAAAAAGTTTGCTGGAGCAACACCATCATTTACCCCGCATATGCCCAGGGCCAAACTCCTCAAGGGTTGGCCTCTAGGGACAATCAGAAATTTTGAGTTTGAGCATAGCAGTGGCTCTAGTAAAGTATGCTACCTTTTGAATAATCTTTTCTTTGGATTGGTGGTGCCTAGAGAGCTGATGCTGATTGAGAGACCCATAAGTGTTTTAAATAACTCAGTGAGGTGCCTTCTACTTGCACATCTTTGTCCTAAGAGGAAAACGCTCTATCTATAGTATCATGGATAATTGAAAAAAGTTATTGTATGCTTAAGCAAGATGGTGTTTGTTGGTATTTTATGGAGACACCTGAAAATCGAAAACCTCCTTCTATAAATGTTGTGTGGTAGTGTAGAGTTTAATTGCAGCCAAGAGACAAGAAAAGGATGTTGCACATGGTAGCAAATACAATGATAGAAAATCAGAGCAAGACTGCAACAAGTGACAAATTTTATCCCAAATACTTTTTTAAACCTTAACAATTTTTCTTCGATTTCTTTTATTTTTGCAACTTTTTTTGACTAAGTGACAGGCATGCCTAGAACTATGAACCCTGAAGTAGCAATGCAGAAAAGCACTTGCCCACTGGGTGAGCCCATGGCCACTTGCAGACCTAGTAGTGAGGTGAAGGCTGGGAGCTCTTCTGCAGCAGCAAGAATGGGAAAGGTCTGGGGCAAAAGCTCCACAGCAAGATGCATCAGTCTAAGAAAAGAGGAGAAATATTAAGGGAAATCACATCAAACAAGTGTTTCCCATAGATAACGTATGTATCTATTCCTCCCACGTAGATGTACCTTAAAGGTCACAGTGGCTAGTCTGTTCCACAGTCTGTGTCCATGTTCCTCTTGCTGTGGGACTGACTTTTGTTAACAGAGGAACCAAGACTAAACTGATAACATTAATCTCTGTTCTTGCTCTGACATGGTTATTCGTTAGTTCTTCCTAATGACTGTTCAGTTATTTCCTTTGAGGGAGCCACTCCTAATTCTCTTCTGTTCAGGTTGGATAATGAGTCACTCACTTTAATACCAACCACTATTAACCCTTCCTTTATACAACCAACATCTGGGGACTGTGGAACACATCGTGTCTTGGTGCTGAGGAAGAAGATTGATGAATCCTGCAGGCTTTCTGCTGCTGGTTGATGGAAAAAACAACTTGTTTGCCTCGTGTCTTTGATTAATTTCTTTTTAAGTCTAGCTTAATCTACCTGCTTTCCAGAGTAATTTTTTTCCCCATAAATTTAACTTATTTTCCATAGTCTTCTTGTCTGGCCAAACTTTTAATTTGTATTAAGTAAGTTCCGGAAGTACCTTGTTTCCCCTTATGCTTTTCCTCTCTCTCTTCTCTTTGGGGAGGGAGGGGTGTGTTTGTGGCTGGTCACAAGCCAGCAGTGCTCAGTTCTGCTGCGCCTCCCTGATTCCAAGGATGCTGACAGCCAGGCTCCTGGTGGCACGCGTTCTGGACTAGTTTTCTTCCTAAACAACAAAACAGAAAAAAACCCAAGCAAGTTATCATCTTCTATTTATAGATGATTTGCCATTCCTAAGACTATTAAACCTAAAGACCCTGCAAGACAATTAACAACAAGTAGTAAATTCTCCTTGACTCAGTTATTGCTCACAAGGCTACTTAGAGAATGGCTTGTTTGAGATCAAGCTTTGCACTGTTGGAGCATTGGATACATGCAGGGCTGTCTGAAAGTCTGCTTTTTAGGCACCTCATGTATGGCAGTACTTGTTATTCTGATTAAATTTTGGTGATTTTTAGGATATTTGAAATTCTGAAGTTCTTTGTCCTTGATCCATGTTCTTCTATTAGCACTATTGGCCTGCTACCATGTTTTGTGTGTTCCTCAAAGTGTTCCAAATTGTTTTATTATTTTGATGCTATTATAACATATCTATTCTTATAGGGTAATCTACGAATTCTAAGGGAAAAGTAGTTCAGAAAGAGAATCAGACTATTTACTTAGGAAACCACACTCTCAGATTACTGGAAAAACAGATTTCCAAGAAGAAATGCACTTGTCATTGACTACTTGCATAGCTTTTCTAGTATTCTTTTTTCCATCATCCTGATGCTGCACTAGTTGGGCTCAGACACACATCCATGGCACTCACTGCCTGGGAGTGAGCTGGCCCACTCCTGCTGCAACAGCTATTCCCTGCTGGGAATATTTACTGTGGGTGCCAATCCAGCCTGACTGAAATCTCATTAACAATATGCTTTTCCTCATTAATAAAATATTAACGTGAACATACAGCATCAGCAGCTTGACACTTCCTGTAGTTTTCCAACACCTGAACAGCAGAGAACTGCTCAGGTGCTGTGGTACTATTGCAACAATAAGCTGGCAGGCAACCTCTGAAGCTTGGGCACCTCAGCCTTTTAAAAAATAATTTCATCTGGTAAAACTGAAGATAGGTAATTCCTCACTGCCTGTGCAGTGAAGAGCAGGTTTCTTCCAGCAGCTGATACTATTAAGTTGATGCTTATGCTCATTTACCAGTTATGGCAACAGTTTGGCTGCCCTGTGGATGGCAGATCTCAAGATGCAAGTAGTTGCCACTTTAAGCATGTCTAAGGTGAAAAGGCTGCCAAAATCATTGTGTATTCCTACTCTGCACTGGTGTGGCCTCACCTCAAGTCTTGTGCGCAGTTTCAGGTGTCACAATACAAGAAAGATCTAAAGCCATTAGTGTCCAAAGGAGGGCAATGAAGAGGGTGAAAGGTCTGGAGGGGCCCTATAAGGAGTGGCTGAGGGCACTTGGTTTGCTCAGCTGGAGAAGGAAGATTGAGGTCAGAGCTCCCTGGGGGCTGCACCTCCAATCTCTGCTCCCTGGGACAGAGACAGCACCCAGGGAATGGCTGGAGATGGGCATCGGAGGGTTAGGGTGGATATCAGAGAAAGATTCTTCCCCCAGAGAGTGCTGGGCATTGAACAGGGTTTGGTCATGTCTTCAAGGCTGCCAGAGCTCCAGGAGCATTTGCACAACACCCCCAGGGATGCACAGGGTGGGATTGCTGGGGTGTCCCTGTGCAGGGCCGGGAGTTAGGCTCGATGATTCTTGTAGGTCCCTTCCAGCTCGGGGTATTCTACCATCTGGAAGCTTTACCAGCAGCAGTAAATGCTCAGCCGGGAGAGGCCAGGCCAGCCGGTCACTTTTACCGGAGGCGCTGTGGCCAGGTCGGGCGCGCCATCAGGCCGGGAGCCCCGCAGCTCCCCGGCCCGAACTGAACCTCTGCGGGACCACTTCCCTGTCACGGGCGAACACCCCCGAGCAACAAGTGCCCGGGGCGCCGGTTCTCCGAGCGGGGCCCGCCACAGCGGCTACGGGGCTGATGGAGCGCCACTGCCCGACAGCGCACGGCCAGGACCGGGCCAGGCCGATCCGGGACACCCCTGCCCCGGTTCCCGCCGCCGCTCCCCTCCTCCGGCCCCCTCCCCTTCCCCGCCACTCGCTTCCGCCGCGCTCCCGCGCATGCCCGGGTTATGCAACGGCCGCGGCGGGCGGGCCGGGCCGGGCCGGGCCAGAGCCGCAGGGCAGGGTAGGGGGCCGTGAGGGGCTCCGGGCTCCGGGCACGGCCAGCTCCGAGGCCGCTCCGTTTACGCCGCGCTCCCGCCGCGGCCCCGCGCGGTCTGTGAGTGGCAGCGGCGCCGCCGCCAAGTCCCGCCCGTTCCGCTCTCGCTGCCGCAGGCGGCGGCGGCGGCGGGTTGGCTTCCTGCGCGCCCGGCCGCTCCCCCGCCCCCCGGCAGTCGGAGCCGCAGCCGCCCGGATCCCCGAGCCATGGCTCTGTGAGCGCAGCACATGGCGGCCGCGGCAGCCATGAGCCCCCCACTAATCCATACAACTCCCCCCTGATCGGCCACCGACGGCAGCCAGCGCTCCCACCCGGTTCCACCGCTCCCACCGCCCGCCCGCCGCCGCCGCCGCGCCGCCCGGCCCGAGCCCAGACCCCGCTGCTGCCACCGCCGCCGGGCCTCCGCTCGCCCGCCCGCCGCCGCCGCCGCGCCGCCCGGCCCGAGCCCAGACCCCGCTGCTGCCACCGCCGCCGGGCCTCCGCTCGCCCGCCCGCCGCCGCCGCCCAGTCCTCACCATGGGAGTGCAGGGATTCCAGGACTACATCGAGAAGCACTGCCCCAGCGCTGTGGTGCCTGTCGAGCTGCAGAAGCTGGCGCGGGGCAGCCTCGTGGGTGGGGGTCGCCAGCGTCCCCCCCAGACCCCTCTGCGCCTCCTCATCGACGCCGACAACTGCCTGCACCGGCTCTATGGCGGCTTCTACACGGACTGGGTGAGCGGCGGGCAGTGGAACCATATGCTGGGCTACCTGGCGGCCCTGGCCAAGGCCTGCTTCAACGGGAACATCGAGCTCTTCGTCTTCTTCAACGGCGCCCTGGAGAAGGCCCGGCTGCACGAGTGGGTGAAGCGCCAGGGCAACGAGCGCCAGACGGCGCAGCAGATCGTCAGCCACGTCCAGAACAAGGGCACCCCGCCGCCCAAGGTCTGGTTCCTGCCGCCCGTCTGCATGGCGCACTGCATCCGCCTGGCCCTCATCCGCTTCCACATCAAGGTGAGGAGGAGCCCGGGATCCCCCCGGCCCGGGGGTCCCGGCGCCCCCTCCCCGCCGCTCCCTCCCGGCTCCAAAATGGCAGCGGGGGCTGCCCGCGGGGGGAGGGAGGGCACCCTCAGCCGCTCCCCTCAGCGCCTCAAAATGTCGCCCAGACCGGCGGGGGCGGCACAAGTTTCGGCGGCCCCAATCCTCGGGGGATTTTGGCTTATTTACATGGTGCTGCTTTCCGCCCCGTCAAGGCCGGAGGCAGGGAGGCCTCGGCGGGGCGACCGGCAGCGCCCATGGCCCGGCCGGGCAGCAGGGCGGCTTCTGCCTCCATGTTCTTTCGCTCCGTTGACTCAAAATGTCCCTTCTTGCCTTGTGGGCTCTGATACCGCAGGGGAGAGCGGGTGGGGGAAAAGCATCTCTGTAATTAATTATTGAAGGGAGGAAAAAATAATTAATCAGTTTAGTTCTCGTGCAGGATGGATCTGCAACAAGTTCCCGGCTGAGGCGAGGTGTTTTAAACTTGGGCTGAAGGGGAAATGGCTCGCTGCAAAAAACACAGGGGTGCCACTTTTGGTTTGTGGAGGTTTTTGTGTTTTGCTCAGCGTTTTTTCAGCATCAACAAGCTTTCAAAACCAGTTGTAGACTAACTGGCTCCTTACTCCATAACAGCAACACTTCCAGTTTGTGCAGTCAGCAGTGTGTCAAGCTGACGGTCCTTTTAAAGTCCTTATTTTAAGGGGCAGCCTCAGTTTTCCGGCCCCACAAACAGCCCTTCGTGTTGGAGCCAGGCTCCATGGCCATCTTGTGCTCAAAGGCCACGATTTCAAAGGTTGCAGGATATGACCACGTCGCATCTCTCCGCATGGCGTTCCTGATTTAGAATGGTTTCTGTTCAGCTGAGCGATTGTGTATATTGAAACACAAGATGCTGGAAAAACAAGCCCAGGGATGAAGCTGCAGTTTTAGGAGTTGCCTGCTCACCTTCCCGCTGGGGAGGGAAGAGCAGCAGGAGGGAAGCACATACTCATTGGCTTTATTATCTTAAATTACTTTTGTGTGTAGAAAAATATTATATAACCTCCGGAATTACTTGATCACTAGCAACAGCTTAATGTTATTTGGCCTTTCGGTGGATTAGAAACATTCTGGCTGGGCTGCAGCCCTGGGGTACGGAGGCCTCTCTCCTAGGAGCTCACCCCACAGGTGCCTTTGGGTGAAGTTTTTCCTAGTTCTGCCAACAGGGTGGGGAATCACTGTTGCTCCCTTGTAGTGCCCTGCTCGCTGGGCAAGGCCCATCCGTGCAGGACCACAGAGCTGGAGTGCAGCCACCCTGAGTTCAGCCCGCTCAGCACTGCAGGTCCCACCCTTCGGTGGCCCCGGCTGTGGCGGGGTTGAGTCACCGGGCCGGGGACACTACGCCAGGCAGAGCATGTGTGGAATGAACTGGAAGCGGAGGCGAAGCTCCTTCTTGCAGGGCACGTGCAGGTCTGCCAAAGACGATGCCTTGGGCTTGGCCTTGGTTAAAGTAAGGAGGTGTTGGCTGGGTCTGGTACAGTTGTGTGTTTTCCTGGTCAGCATAGAAGCCAAATAGTGTTATGCTTTTTGGATTGTGGGAATTTACGTGATAGTAAAACATCCTATCATATGAACTTTTGGGGACTTTGTAACTAGGAAATACTTTTGGTCTTTCAGCATTAAGTTGTAGGGCCCACGCAGTGAAGGTCTTTACTTTGACCCTGTTTGTGGGTGCATTATAAATCATCTTCATTTGTTAATTTATTTGTATTGAGACTTAGAGATCATTAGTAAAAGCAACGAATAGGGTAAAGTAAGAATTTTTTTTCTTTTAATGTATAGAAGTAGTGACTTGGTTTAATGCAACATGGAAATGCATAGTACCCAACAGGAAGCCAGCTGTTTTTGTATCAGTGGGAATTTAGTGCTTGCAGTAGTTTTGTAGTATGTTGAAGTGGCTGTTAGTTTGCTAAGCATTTTCTGTCTCGGATCTGACTCAGGTACATTATATCTGAACCAAGTGGCTGCATTTGACAGTGGTATCACCTGTAGCATTTTGTTTACTTTCCAGCGCAGCTGCAGCATTAGCTCGTTTATGGTTTCTTGGTGACAGGCCTTATTCCTAATCCCTGTAAGTACAGGAGTGTGAGCACACTCATATTGAGTCTTTCCTTTTCTGTCATTAAAAAAGTAGCCCGAACTTGAAAAATCTCAGTAAATTCAACATCCCTCCAGTTCTGATGAGAAGATTTGCGAGGTATGTATTTGGCAGTGTGGGGTTAGCCCTGAGAGTTGGTAGCTCATTATCAGATACTGCGGGGTGTGGGGGGAGAGATTGTTGCTGTCCACACCACTGAGCCGTCATCATGCATGTCCCAACTGCAGTGGTTGTCTGCACTGCTCAGCTGTCCTGGGAACGGAAGGATATCAGGAATCTCTGTTTGATGCCTCATTTTTTTGAGTTGTAGAGAAACTCTGTGGATAAATATAGTTGTAATGGATTAATTTTCAGGTTAGGAAGGATATTTCATGGTTATAGTGGTCACATGCAAAATACACATCAAAGATACTGCTGAGCTTAAAGCACTTTTCTTCTCTTCTTCTCTTACATGATTCATTATTTTCTAAATCTGCTTTGTTACTATGTTTTTATCTAAATCTTCCCTCGGTTTTATTTTCACTCTCACTTTGGTGTAGCCCTCCTGATGCATCTTGAAAGTGTGATTTTTATTTACGTGTGTAGGTTATTTTTGAAATCTACCTATGCATAAGACAGTTGTTAAACTGTAGTGTTTTCTCACTTTGTTTTGAGAAGTTGGGTTTGAGAATACTGGTTGACTTTAAATATGAAACTGATTTTCATATTTTTAGGAACATTTGAGTCTGGAGTAGATTTCTGTGTGAAGCTAGGAGCTGGCCGTGAATTTAATCCATTTTGGTAATTAGGGAGGAGAAAAAGTAATATCTTCTATCCAGAACAATTATAAATCACTCACAGATGGTTTCAGCAGGATGTAAAAATAACAGGTTCCTCCAGGTTATAACAAATATCCTCTGGGTACTTAGTTTTATTGTGACCTGGTGTTTTTCAGTTTAGGGGGAATAATGCCTAAACTTTAATGTGAAATAAGTTTGCTAAAATTTAAATATTTAGGCAGTGGAGTTCTTAATAACTCGAATACTTAGGGGAGACTATTTTGTTCTCAGTACCTAAAGGTGCTCATGTGTATTTACTCAGGCGGGATTCTCTTTTTCTGAGCCAGCACCACTGTTTACACAAGATTTAGATTTGAAAATTATTCCAACCTCCTGGCTGTGATTTCCACCACATCTCTCTCCCTGGGTTGCTTTTCAAGCCTGAATGTTCCTGGGTACCTCTGCATTTGTGAGAGCCTTGAGAAATTTCTCTGACTCCCATCTTGTTAGAGTTTTACCTTGTGGGTTAACTGTACTTTGGTAAATACAGCTCTTTTCCCTGTGATGGTTCAGTTACTTGAACATGGATTCTGGTATTCCCTGAACACACAGCAGCTTCATGCTGGGTTAGAGAGCTCTGTAAAACGGGGAGGGAACTGGAAGCTGTGGAGGTAGAGGAAATAGCTCATAGAAAATCAGGAGCTGCACACCAACCTTCCTCTTGCGTTACCTGCACACCCATGTCACACCTAGTGCTGCAGAAGGAATTCTCACTTGTTTTTTTATAGATCAGAGGTGCTTGTTGTGCATGAAGAGAGGTTGGGTTTGGAGATGTGGACATAATTTTATTCTATCCAGCCTTAATTAAAAAACATCAGAGGGATTTTTCTAATTTAAAACCTGTGACGACTGGTGGGTGGGAGTGGGATTAAGCCCAAGTTACCTTCCTTTAGCTAGGAACTATGTAAATCTGATGTCTTTACATTTTTCCGAAAATGTTTATAGTTTCTCCTATACCTTATGCTAGAGGACAGCATCATTGTGAGAAAAAATAAGTATGTGTATTCTTCTCACAAACAAAGTAAATTTCAAAAACAGTCCATCAAGGAAGTTTCTGAAGAAGTAACATTTTCTGAAGACTATGGGGTGGCAGGATTAGGAGTAGGGAGAGCTTAGTGAACTGGTAGTTTGTTTGCAGGAAAAGGTGAGGTGCTGGCTGTTCTTCAGGATCTGGCTTGAAAGGGAACATCTCATGAAGAGATGCACGGGAGAAGTAGAATTTGAAGTACCTCTCTGGAATTCGGTAGTTCAGCATCAGGTTCAGCAAGTGCAGGACGTGAGTAGAAGAGGAAGGGTCCCTGTAAACTTGCTGTGGGTGACTGCAGGGGCTGTAGAGTTTGGGACCTTGTCTACTGTTCTGAAGAGGAAATAAATACCCTTGCTGGCACTAAGGCTGTAGTTATTCATGCATACTGTGGAGACTGAAGCTAGTGGTTTTGTACTAGTCTATTTTGGGATAGCTTGCTATCTCTGTATTGTTGTTAAAATGGAATACTCAGTGAGGGTGGGTTATACCAACACCCAACTTCCAAGGGGATTTCTATATCACTGAATGTGTGTTAGGTCTGTGGATGGTAGAAGCATTAGGGATCCAAAGCCCTCAGGT